CACTGCCAGCCCAGAACACAAATTTTTAGCCCGAGTGTCTTAGATTCCTTAGAGTTCCAGGGAGCATGTAAAGTTTCTCAAGTGCTTTCCAAGACTTTGGGTGTTTTGTGGATTGTTAAATAAAAATGTACAGGAGGGCATTGATTTGGACTGAGCTTCTGCCCGAGTCTCCAACAGAAAAAACCAGAATGGAGTGACTCGTGCTAAAGATCCCATCACAAAGCTGAGATTCAGTTGTTTAATCTCACCTTTTGAGGAATTAGGAGAGCAAGACAATAGCTGGATCTCCGACAGGCGAGTTTTAACTGCTAGGACAAGGAAGTGCTCTCTGCTTCAGTCCTGCTGGGGAAAGTAACCTGACGTTCATCAATCCACTTTCTTGGTTATGCCGCTTCCTTGTTCCTGTTCAAGCTACCCTATAAAAACCAACTGTTCTGCCATGCCTGGTGTAGAGACACAGCCCAGTTCACAGATCACAAATAAAAGCCAATTAGATTATTTAACTAAATTGGCTGAAATTTAATCTTTTGCAAGAACATATGAATGGGGTGGGGGTTGGGTGAGGCAGGGACTTCCATTAGACCTGGTTTCCAAACAGGTGACGAATCCTTCCATATTGAGAGACCACTGACAGTGATTGCTTGTCCAAGCCACACTCAACTTCATTCTAGGTCCACATTGTGATCCAGGGCCTGGGGCCTGACAGCGTAAGAGAGCAAGCCCAGAAAGTCCTAGAAGTAATGGGAAACAAACTGCAGGCAGAGCAAGGGGCCAGCATAGGAGAATTTCCTCTTTTCTTTCCTGCCAAGTGAAAATAATGTAAAAGTAGAGGGGGTAGAAACTCAACGCCTATTTATTTTGCAAGGGTGGTTCTTTTGTACATAGTACGCCAGCTGCATAACCAATGTACACTAAGTACTTTTCAGTAGACTAATTGAATCAAGAACTCTTTCCAATATTTCTACAGTGTTGTGGCATAGTAGGCTAAACCACTGCCTGCAGCAGCGGCATCCCATGGGGCCTTGGTGGTTTGAGTCCCAGCTGCTCTGCTTCCGATCCAGCTTCCTGCTGGGTGTATGTGGAGCGGGGGCCATGTATAGTTCGGTGGTGATGGAGTGCTGGCAAGGTAGTATCTATTGCCCCGCCTTCCTGGGATGCCTGCTACCTTAAATCATGGTTTGGTAGTCCTCTTATGCCTATCATCAGAGTCCTGAGATACTTTTGTGCATAAATTAACAAGATTTGGTCTCTGTTGTTTGCAATTAGGAATTCTTGAGCAACAGGAAAAAGAAAAAAGATAGTCTCTCAAGCCCTTTAATCCCCTTTGCCATGAAGCATGGGTGGAAGCAGAGGCCCCAGTTTTGAAGTGAGTCATGCAATGGTTAACTTCGTGTGTCAACTTGACTGGGCTACAGAGATGTTTGGCCAACCAGTGTTCTGGATGTTTCTGTGAGGGCACTTTTATAGGAGCACACCATTTAACTCATAGACAGAGTAAAGGGGATTGCCTTCTGTCTCGATCCATTTGGGCTGCTTATGACAGAGCAACCATAGACTGGGTGGCGGATTAACAGCTGAAATCCATTTCTCACAATTCTGGAGCCTGGAAATCAGAGATCAGGCTGAGAGCATTGTCGGGTTCTGGTGAGGGATGTCTTCTGGGCTGCAGACCGACAACTTCTCACATCCTAACACAGTGGAAAGAAGAGCAAAGGCGCTCTCTCAGGTCTGTTCTAGAAGGGCACCAGTCCCTAGGACAAGGTCTCCCCCTCACGACCTAATCACTTCCCATCGCCTGTACCTCCTGATGCCCTCATCCTGGGGGCTGGGATTTCAGTGTGTGCATTTCCATTGAACACATGCCATTGAACACACGTGTGCATTTCCGTTGAACATATGCCTTCCCTAGTAAGGGGAGGGTCTGATCCAATCAGTTGAAGGCCTAAAGAGAACAGAAAGGCTGACCTCCCATGAGCCAGAAGCAATTCTTCCTGTCTGACTGCCTTCAGATTGGGACATTGGGTTTTTTTCTGCCTTCAGACTCAACTATAGCATCAGCTCTCCTAATTCTCAGGACTTGCCAGTCTCCACAAGAGCCGATTCCTCAGAATAAATCTCTGTATTTCTCCACATGTCTCTATCTCCATCTCTGTTTATTATTTCCTATCAACTCTGACTAATACGATTCTCCTTTGTACTGACTTATTGGGCTTGTCTACCAGGCCAGCATGAGAATCTAACAGACAAATCTAGGGAGAATCTCCTGGTGGATAGGGTGAAAAATTCCAGACTTGATTCTTCCCTACCATAAGGAATGGGCAATTTGGGATAAAGGAAGGGTCCTTTCCAGAGATAATATTGGTTAGAAGATTTTGGGCTGATGATTTCCTTTGAGTTTGGGTTGTATGACCAACGTGCTTCTCCTTTGAGTATTTAAGTGTCCCAAACATCTCTATTTTATTTTTTTAAATGAACCTTTTAATACTTTGAAAAATTATGATGCTTACTATAAAAAGAGAAATTCAGAGATAACGACAAAAATAAAAATCACTAGACCATTTTAATTGCACATATCTTTCTAGACATAATATTATTTGTCTATTAAATGTATTCATTTAAAAATGGGGTTGACTTTGTCCCGGAGGATGGTGTTCAACAAGACATACACGGTCCTTGGTCTTGCCCCACGGAACTGTGGCTTATTGCAGAAGACATTCATCCTAGCATGTGGCTATGTCCCCACACAGGTAGACATGGCCACAAGGCTAATCCTTTAGCAGTTTCTAAAATGGACTTCTTCTTTTTTAAAAAAATTTATTTTATTTATTTGAAATGCAGAGTTACTGGGAGGGAAGAGAGAGAGAGAGAGAGAGAATCTTCTGCCAATTCACTTCCCAAATGGTCACAACAGCTTTGGCTGGGCCAAGCCAAACCCAGGAGGTTGGAGCTCCTTCTGGGTCTCCCATGTGAGTGGCAGGGGCCCAAGTACTTGGACCATCTTCTGCTGCTTTCCCAGGTGCATTAAAGGAAGCTGGATTGGAAGTGGAGCAGCCGGGACTCGAACTGGCACTTGCATGGGATGCTGGCATGGCAGGCAGTGGCTGAACCTACTGTATCACCATGCTGGCCCCTGGACTTCTTGCTAACATTACAAAATCATCTTCCTTTCAAGTATTTACTAGGTCTTACTTCACTGAGCTGGAAACCAGGGAGAGTATTTTACCTTATGTTCTATTAGATTTTTTTAATGTAAATCTGTTTGAGATGGTGAGAAAAATAATAAAAACTATCCAGATCATCTGTTATCTTTCTGTCTTGATTTATCAGACTCACCTCACATCTATATTCGAATTCACCCTATTCCCTCCATAGGTTCCACTCTCGTGTTCACGTTCATTTTCCCTTCTTTGTCCTCCTTTGTCGAGATGGTGCAATCTACCTAGTTCATTATTGAGTAATGTGATAGAGGCCCTGGGGGACTGTTGCCAGCCATTGCCTTGAGAGGGTGAGATGTCTGTGAAACTTCCCCGGGCATGTCCTGGCTTCTTCATCTTAAGCAAATGCTTACCAACAACTGCAACCCTTGTGTGTGATCTCAGTTCCAGGCTAAAGCCCTATGCCTGGAAATCCCTTTTGGAAAAGATTGTAAAGCAAATAAGGCCATAGAAATCAGGAGGGCGACCCCGGGGACAAATTAAAAAATACTAAAATAGGAAAATGGAGTTTCAGTATAGACATAATCCCAATTCTAGAAGTTTGAATGTTAACAATGCCACTCTGTAACAAGATGGTAAGCCATTCTTTCTTGGTCAAATGATTAAACCTTATGGTATGTTGTCAAAACAGGAAGTCCTTCTATTTCAAATTGTGCTCATAAAATGATCTGGAAAGAGACTATGCTTTCAAAACGAAAGCATACGGGACCAGGGATTGGGAAATATGGATTACAGTTGTCCATCTACTTTTCAATAATTTATTTGGTGCACATTGCCATGTCACTTATATTTTTGATAACTCATGATCTTTTTTTAAATTTTGTTTTGTCTTCTTGTTTTGAGAGCAATAATACTGTTACTTTTAAAAGATATGAGAATAATATATAGAAATCTGGAAATGATATCATTTATGATAGTGCTTGAGATGTGACAACTCCTAAACCAAACAGCACTGTTTGCTGTCAACATTTCTAGATAGTTATCCAAACCTTGTCCCTATCCTGCATGTGAGAAAGAACTCAGAATTTTTCTCAGGGGTTCCAGCTTGTTTTTTTTTTAATCCTTTATAGGAACGATCCCTTCCTCAGAGGGCTAATTATTTACTTGAACTTCAGATAGAAGAGGTTCACTTTGTGCAAGCCTTCACTTCTCTTGGAGAACATGAAAATAAGGATTTGAGCTACAATGTAAAAACATTTTAATATCAGCATGAACTTTGGAGTTAGAGAACCCTAGGGTCAAAATCCAATTCCCACCATTGTACTGTTTGCATTTTCTTGAGTAGGTCATTATCTAATTTCTCTGATTTCAGATCTTTTCGTATAAAATAAGAATAAAATACCAGGAAGGGCTGGTGTTGTGGCGCAGTGGGCTAAGTCACGTCTTGTGACACCAGCATCCCAAGCATTGGTTCCAGTCCCAGCAGCTCCACTTCTGATTCAGCAATCCCCGACTGCACCTGGGAAAGCAGTGGACCCCTGCCACACATGTGGGAGACCCAGATGGAGTTCCTGGCTCCTGGCTTCAGCCTGGCCCAGCCTGGGCTGTTGTGGCCATTTGGGGATTGAACCAGCAGATGGAAGAACTCTTGCTCTGTCTCTCCTACTCGCCCCTCTGCCCCCCTCATCTCCATCACTCTGCCTTTCAAATAAATAAATAAATCTTAAAACAGATGGTAGGAAGGATTTGCTTAAGTTGTGTTTATTAGTGCCTAGTGTAGACTACTTGGCATAGGGGCACAGTGTCTGTTAGTATGAAGACTTTTTAAATCAAGAATAATAGAACTATCAGTCTACGGGTAGAATTAGGTGTTGTCTTAATCTGTTAGTGCTGCCATCACAGAGTACCTGAGACCAGATGATTTACAAAGAACACAGATGTATTTTCTGACAGTTCTGGAGGTTGGAAAATGCAAGACCTAGGCACCAGTAGGTTCATGGTCCAGTTTCTGATTCCATGACGACCCCTTGAACACAGCGTCCTCTGAAAGGGAGGACTGCTGTGTCTTCCCACGGCAGAAGATGCTTGAAGTCCTTTTGTAAGGGCACCTCATCCCGTTCACGAACTCCTGGAGACCATCTCTCCTAATACTGTTGTTTTGGGGATTGTTTCAAGATGAATTTTGGAGGGGTCAAGAATATTCAAACCATAGCAGGTACAATATATGAATCGGTATCTTGAAAAAACTGTGTTGTGGCATAATGGGTTACCGCCCTGGCCTGAAGCACAGGCATCCCATATGGGTGCCGGTTCGAGACCCGGCTGCTCCACTTCCAATCCAGCTCTCTGTTATGGTTTGGGAAAGCAGTAGAAGATGGCCCAAGTCCTTGGGCCCCTGCACTGCATGGGAGACCTGGAAAAAGCCCCTGGCTCTGTCTTCGGATCGGCACAGCTCCAGCCGTTGCAGCCAATTGGAGAATGAACCAGCGGATGGAAGACCTATCTCTCTCTCTCTCTCTGCCTCTCCTCTCTTTGTGTAACTCTGACTTTCAAATAAATAAATAAATCTTAAAAAAAAAAAACAAAAACAAAACTGTGATCTCAATTAAAAGACTAATCATAGAAGCATTAATGAAATTGACCAAAAATGAATAAGGCTAACCATCGGGTACAACCTTAAAATTTTTCCACGCTAGGCCTCACTCAACTGGCTGAGTAACCAGACACATTTCTTCACTTAGCTGCCCAAATCGGGGAATGAGGGATTTACTGTATTTTGCTGGGCAGTCAGTGCCATGTGCTGGGAGATTCTTGGGCAGAAGATTGAAATATCTGAAATATTGCTGTTGACAGAAGTAAATCGAATGTCAAAACCTTCAAGGTTCTGCTCATCACTTCAGCAAAGAAAGCTATGTAGAACATTTCTGGTGAAATAGAATCCAGAACCTAATACACATTTCTTGCAAATTAGTTTCGTAGGATAAAGTACCATTTCATTGTGACAGCCATGCTTATGTTAACATTTGACTTGGAAGAAACCCTCAAACCTGCCAACCAAAAAATAACTGAATTGCTCTCTTTTTGTAGATTAAAAAAAAAATAGAAGAAGAAATAAATCCAGGAAAAAAAAAAGACCCAGGAAAGGAAAACGTTCATAGTTCTGCTAAATTTTACTTGAACTTCCCCAGCTATCAACAGCAAAGATTAGTACCAATGCTTAATTTTGATGGCATCTGTGGGACATCAGATAAAACTACACAGTTCTTTTTCTGGGATTGGTTACTTCTAGCATATATCTTCAGATACTTTTCAACAAAAATAAGAGGCAAAGTAGAAACAGAGAGGTGGTAACTTTCTCTGCACTGGCCTCCACCTCTCATCCGGCCCAGTGGAGTAAAGGCCTTGAAAATTCAGACCAAGCCAGCTGTGAACACACTCATAGAGAGATGATCTGGGGGCTGTCCTCCAGCCCAGGATCCCAGACGTTCCGGGGCCCAGGCACACTTGGCAGAGCATCCTTGGGACAAGCATGTTTGGTTACCAGGTCAGCATCCTACTTCCCCAACCTTGGAGGCAACTGAGGAAGACAGGAGACAAAACCATGCTGACATTGATCAGCAAGGACCGGGCCAGCAAGCCGGAGAGCAAACTAAAGGCACTGCTGTGATCTGGACTAGAGAAATGAAGAGGTGTACCCTCTGCCTGCATCACATAGGGTGACAGTAACAAAGGCCCTATCAACACAGCTGGCTTGTCCTAAATACAAGGCATTTTTCCCACTGGGGAGTTGGGGGGGAACAACCCTGGCCCAGCCGGACATAATAAGATAAAGCCTAACGTGCTTACCAGACCTGGACTTTCCCACTGCAGGTCAAAGCCAGTGGGCAGAAATTTCAAGAGGAAACTGGTTCTGGCCTCTTGTTCATAGATCCATTGCCATTTAGTTAACTGTACTCAGACTGTAAGGCAACACCACGTGTCCAGAGCTGACTGAGTGATAAGACAGCTGAAAAGTTCCTGGAAAAAGCAGTAAGTGTGATCTGGGGGCCAGGGTGGGGTAGAAAAGGGTGGCTAGAATTTTCTGGTTGAGTGTATTAGCAACAAAGTCACTCAGAGTTTTTTGACCTGCGTTTCCGGGGTGGATTTATCCCTTGCATAGACAGGAAATTCTATGATGTTCTGACACCCATCACTTCTGCCTACCCTACTTTTCTCTTTCAAGGTCAACGTCTCAAAGCCGCCTTACTAAACCCCAGGCCCTGTGAGGTGTTACTTCATGTACTCATCAAAGTCACCCTATGAGGTAGGTACTGTAATTAACTCTATTTCAAAGAAAGAAATGACTCTCACCCACAGTTGCCTGGTTAAAGGGACAGAGCAGGGACTCCCATCCAGGTCAGCTTTTGTCCAAAGCCTGTACTTTTTAATCTCAACATTGTATTGCTTCCCACTCACAGCTTCTTAATTCCGAATTGAGAAGAAATTTGATCCAAAGTAATTGCAAATAGAGGGAAGCCGCTGTGAGTGTGAGCATGAAGTGTAGAGTTGCTGGTGGGTGAGGGGCAATGGGGGCAGAGGCAGGAGACAAGACAGAGGATGCCATAGTTATTTTCCCTGCTGACCCAGGAAGAATCTCACAGCCACTGTAGTAGGCGCCACCACGTAGCTGCCGGCAGCTGCAACTTGAACTATGAGAGCCAGGGTCAGGGCCGCAGGTGCATAGGACCCCAGAGAAATATACTTCCTTCCCTCACTGGCGGAGCTCTCTTGACCTGTCACTTTTTCTCCAGGTTGGGATGGCAATTTTGCCTGGCCCTCAGCTGTAGTTCTTCCCTTCCTCCCTCCCTCCCTCCCTCCCTTCCAAGATTTATCTAGTTTTTTGAAATGTAGCATTACAGAGAGAAAGGGAGAAACAGAGGGAGAGCTGCCATCCACTGTTTTACTCCCCAAATGGCAGCAGACTGGGCCAGACCAAAGTCAGGAGCCTGGGACTCCATCCAGGTCTCCCACATGGGAGCAGAGGCCCGAGCACTTGGGCCATCTTCCACTCTTTCCCAGGTGCATAAGCAGGGAGCTGGCCTGGAAGTGAAGCAGCTGGGACTCGAACTGGCATCCAAATGGGATGCCAGCATTGCAGGCGTTGGCATAACCTGTCACACCACGATGATGGATGCTCCATGCTGTCTTCTACCCTGGCTGTGCTAATTTACATTTCCAATGTCAATGTGTAAGAGTTCCGCTTTCTCCACCTCCTCACTGGCTGCTGTTACTTTCTGTCTTTTTGATAACAGCCATTCTAACAGGGTATGTGGCATCTCATTGTGCTTTTGACTTGCATTTCCCTGATGCCTAAAGATACTGAGCATTTTTTAAAAGTGTATTTGTTGTCCATTTGTATTTCTTCTTTTGAGAAATATCTATTCCAATCCTTTACTCATTTCTTTACTGGATTGCTTATGGGTTTTGTTGCGGTTGTTACTAAATTTTTTTTTTTTTTTTTGAGTTCCTGATATATTCTGGATAGTAATCCTTCGTTGGTTAAGTAGCTTGTCGATATTTCCTCCCATTCTGGGTCAGATGTCTCTTTCACTCCGTTGATTATCTACCTCTCAAATACAGAAGCTTCTATATTTGATATAATCCCATTTGTCTAGTTTTGCTTTGGTTGCCTTAATATACTTTAGAATGGATTTCTAGAAATGGAACTGCCGGGCCCAAACGCAGGCATATATTTAAAGTTTTGGTTCCGTGCTGCCAAAATGTCACCCATCACTGGCAGCCTCCCGCTGTCTCCTTTGATGACCTAGTCCTGGATCCTCCCCGATCCTCCTCGATCAGTTGAAGGCTGTGTATCCCAGGCTCCCAGAGCCTACCCTTCCCAAGGGCGGTTCAAGGCGTCTCCAGCAGAGAGCCCGCTGAAAGTGTTCCGCATTTGCTTGATTGCTTGCTTTCCCCAAATTATGCTCTGAAAGTTATTGATCATGCTCTGGCTTTCATCTAAAAGCTTTGTCATGGGAATGGCTACTTAACCAACCAACTAACTGACATGACTCTCTTGTCTGATGGGGTAAGAGGAAAGGGAAAGTACAGAAGCTCCAAGGACCATGCCTGCAAGGGATTTATATGACCTGTGTGGACATAAGGTGAAAATAAAATTCAGCTAGATCAGCTAGCATAAAAGTTGATGTCAGCATACAGAACAATAGGAATTACAAACCCTGAGAAAAAAGAAGCCAGACGCAAGATATCTAAATAATCTACTCCCCACTCAGACCGTGACTCAGGCGTATGGCCCTGCTGGTTAGTGCAGGTGCTTGGAGCTCCCTTAAAGAGACAGACCTGAAGCTTTGTTTACACACTTGGCTCTCTCTGAAGTTTCCTGATGGTGCCAGGGACCAGAAAAACAACCACTGACTTTGTTGTCTTGTAGATCTGAGGTTGAATCCGGCTTCCCCACTCATTAACTGCATGGATTTGTTCAAGCCACTTATCACCATTGTGCCTCTGTTTACTCATCTGTAAATGTGGCTATGACCTGCTTGGTGGGGCAGTTGTGAAAGTTGAATAAGTGAATATCTTTTTTAAAGATTTATTTATTTATTTGAAAGTCAGAGTTACACAGAGAGAGAAGAAAAGGCAGAAAGAGAGAGGTCTTCTATCCACTGGTTCACTTCCCAGATGGCTGCAAAGGCTGGAACTGCACTGATCCAAAGCCAGGATCTAGGAGCTTCTTCCGGGTCTCCCATGTGGGTGCAGGGGCCAAAGGACTTGGGCCATCTTCCACTGCTTTCCCAGGCCATAGAAGAGAGCTGGATTGGAAGAGGAGCAGCCAGGACTAGAACCAGTGCCCATATGGGATGCCGGCACTGCAGGTGGCAGCTTTACCCACTATACCACAGCGCTGGCCCCACAAATAAATATTTGTAAATGGCTTAGCCCAGTGGCAACCCGCAGGAATTCCAGAAGTGGTGCCTCGATATGGTGAACTATTTTAAAATATTTGTTCTCCATATTTCCGTGGCATTTATTTTTCAAACGGACTTCAAAACCTTTCTGTATTGTGCTATCACTATTTGTCTCTAGGACACTGTCTCGTTCATCTATCTTTGAGGCACATGCCTGATAAAAGCTTTTTTGCTGGATGTCCTAAATAGCACTCTGGCCTCAGAATCAGCCCGTAAGGCACACGGATCTGGCTGAAAAGCCCATGAGAGTATTTCAGGCATGGAAAGCCAAAACACTCTGGCAAAAAACAAACAAACAAACAAACAAACGAACACCTAAATGAAAGATCTCTGCGAGTGAGATCCCAGTAAAAAGAACAGGTCATCAAAGAAGGAGGTACCTTTCTCTGAAGGGAGGAGAGAACTTCCACTTTGACTACGACCTTGTCTAAATATGATCAGAGTTGGTGAACTCAAAAGGCTTCCATAGCCTTGGCAGCTCATAACAAGAGCCTAGGGAGATTACTGACGCCATAAACAAGAGTGTCAATTTGTTAAGTCAACAACAGGAGTCACTGTGCACTTACTCCTCATGTAAGATCTTTGTCCTTAGTGTACTGTACATTGTGATTTAATGCTATAACTAGTATTCAAACGGTATTTTTCACTTTGTGTTTCTATGTGGGTGCAAACTGTTGAAATCTTTACTTAATATATGCTAAACTAATCTTCTGTATAGAAAGAGAATTGAAAATGAATCTTGATGTGAATGGAAGGGGGGAGGGAGAGGGAAAGGGGAGGGTTGCGGGTGGCAGGGAAGTTATGGGGGGGGGAAGCCATTGTAATCCATAAGCTGTACTTTTATATTCATTAAATAAAAGTTAAAAAAAACTTTTCTGCTGGTTGAATAGAAGTAAATTCCAATATGAAAATAGATTCACAGTTCTTGTCGAGAGCCCTGGAAATCACAAGTGGGCTTGGAGACTTCTGTCACGGCCAGCTCTTCAGCGTCTGGCTAATCAGTGTTTGTCAATCGGCTTCTTTGGAAGGCAGTATCCGAAAGTGATGACAAGTGCGGTCCTTGGGATCAGACGGCCCAGGGTTTCGGTCTTGGCTGTGCCATTTCTTAGCTCTTGGGCAAGTTTTGCAACCTTTCTAAGCTTCCGTTTCCTCGTCTGACAATAGATCTAATAATATTATCTGCCTCACCTGGTATTGCAAATATTCAAGGGGATAGATACAGCAAAGCACTTAGCGTGCAGTATGCTGGCATATTGTAAGCGCTCAGCAAATGCTGGGCAACATATTTTAAAAGATCTTTCAAGGTTTTTTTCAACAGCAGTTTAGGATTCTTCTTTTGAATTTTTAGGATTCAAAGTCAAGAGTTTAGATCAGGGGCTGGTGCTGTGGCATAGCCGTAAAGCTACTGCTTGTGGCACCCGCATTCCATATGGGCGCCATTTCTAATCCTGGTTGCATGCCTTCCAATCCAGCTCTCTGCTAATGGGCCTGGGAAAGTAGCAGAGGATGGTCCAAGTGCTTGGGCCCCTGCACCCGCGTGGGAGACCCAGAGGTAGCTCCTGGTTGCTGGCTTCAGATCGGCCCAGCTCCAGCTGCAGCCATTTGGGGAGTGAACCAGCAGATGGAAGACCTCTCTCTCTCTCTCCCTCTCCCTCTCTGTAATTCTGCCTTTCAAATAAATAAAAAAATAAATCTTTTAAAAAAAGAAAGAGTTTTGTGCCTTCTCAGGTATGTATTGACTGCTTACCATGTGTCAGGTATTATGCTAAATACTTTACATTTCATTCTTAAGGCAAGCAGGGAACTACTGTTGCTCAAACAGGCTCAGAAAGGTTGAATGACTGGTTCAAAATCACAGAACTCTTAGTGGTAGAGTCAGGACTTGGACAGGGTTTTTGTTTTGTTTTGTTTTGTTTTGTTTTAGAAGCTTTGTTTATTATATTTAAAAGACAGAGACAGAGACAGAGATGGGGAGAGAGAGACAGAGAGAGATCCTCCATCCACTAGTTCATTCCCCAAATGGCTGTCAAGACCAGAGCTGGGCCGATCCAAAGCTAGGAGCCAGGAGCCAGGAGCCAGGAGCTTCTTTCGGGTCTCCCACGTGGGTGCAGGGGCTCAAGTTCTTGGGCCATTTTCTGCTGCTTTCCCAGGTGCATCAGCAGAGAGCTGGATCAGAAGTGGAACAAGCGGCAGTCAAACAGGTGACAGGATCCCAAGCACATGGGATGGCGGCCCTGCAGACGGAGCCTTAGCCTTCTATGCTGCAGCGCCGGCCTGGACAGGGTGTTTTTCATGGCACATTTCTCATTCTGGACTATGGAATGGAGGATCTTTCTAG